AACCAATATATAGGATGAAAAAAGTGCTCGACTTTAGTCATCAGGAAAAGCAAATTAGGGCGCCTGGGTGGCTCAGTTGGTTAAACGACTGCCTTCGGCTCAGGTCATGATCCTGGAGTCCCTGGATCGAGTCCCGCATCGGGCTCCCTGCTCGGCAGGGAGTCTGCTTCTCTCTCTGACCCTCCCCCCTCTCATGTGCTTGCTCTCTCTCATTCTCTCTCTCTCAAATAAATAAATAAATAAAATCTTAAAAAAAAAAAAAAAGAAAAGCAAATTAAAGCCCTGGTGAGATATCTTTGTGCATACAGGAATACCTAAAATGAAAAAGACTGATTATATCAAATGTTGTCAAAATGGAGCAACTACTATTCTCATGCATTGTTGGTAGGAGTATAATTAGTACAACCATACTGGGAAACACTTTGGCAGCACCAATTCAAGCTGAACAAATGTAGATTCCAGCAATATGTAAGTAATGTGCATCGAGAGATATTTTTTAAAATTTTTCATAGCAGGCTTATTTGTAATAGCCAATAACTGGAAACAATTTACATGTCCATCAATATGGAATGGATAAATAAATGGTGGAAGGGCAACACAATGGAAAGAGAAAGCACAAATTACAACTCAACAATATGAATGTCTTTCTCAAATAAAACATTGAGTAATGGAAACTAGGCATAAAACAGCACGTAATATACGATTTTATTACGGACAGTTCAAAAGTCGGTAAAATTCATCTATGCTCTTATAAAGATTTTATTTATTCATTTGAGAGAGAGAATGAGTGAGCAAGTGAGAGAGCATGAGTGGCAGAGGGAGAGGGAGAAGTAGACTCCCCACTGAGCAGGGAGCCCAATGTGGGGCTCAATCCCAGGACCCTGGGATCATGACCTGAGCCAAAGGCAGACGCTTAACCGACTGAGCCACCTGGGTGTCCCTCATCTATGTTCTTAGAAGTCAAGGTAATGGTTACCTCTGGAGTGACTAGAAGGCCTTCTAGGGTTCTGGTAGTCTGTTACTTGATCTGGGTGCTGATTACATGGGTGTGTTCATTTTAATGCAAATTAATTGAGCTGTGCACTTTTCTTCATGTATGTTATGCTTCCGTAAGAAGTCAACAATAAAGAAATCGTCTTTTAGTAGAAGTCACTGCATTTCTCTAGCATAGTAATAAAGGCAAGCTTAGTGCAGGCTGACAAATGAGTTCAACTCCTGGGCTGAAGAATGCTCTGATTAGTTCTTCAGGAAAAAGTATTTTCAAAACAAAGCAATGGTCTCACTGAATGATTTTGATCATTTTCTCAGCGACAGCCTGACAACTGCAAAGTAAAAGAACTTCACAAGAACCAAACTGTCAAGCAGTGATCAAACATTTTAGAGAACTTTGCGCATTTTTATATTTGGAAGAAAATTATGTTACTAAAATGCTGGGTAAAAGGAACTGATTCTTAAAATGTCATTTCTTTCTTAAAAATAAATGACTGCTTGATTTTACCAGGAAAACACAAAAGCACAAGGCTGTGAGTAATTATGAGTTGTATTTAGCCTCTTACAGTGTGCATTATCCTCAAGGCCACACAGACTCCCTGCTCAACCCACTGTTTGTACTCCTCTGGGCCTTGAACCTTCTTCAGGTCATTGGGATTGACTTGAAAGCAGACAAGAGAACTTACCATCGTGATGGAAAGGTTCTGTGTCCTAAATGGGGTGTGGTTACACTGGTGTGTATGTTTATTACAACCCACTAAACTGTACACTTAAAAATTGTACTTTCAAATGTAACATAAATTATGCCCCAACTAAAAAAGAAGAATGTTAAAAATCATTAATGGCTATTGGTTGCCTGGAATTAGAATTTATTTAACCAATACCCCATTATGTCTTTTTAAAAGATTTTATTTATTTATATGAAAGAGAGAGAGAGCACGAGCTGAGGGAGGGGCAGAGGAAGAGGGAGAGAGACAAGCAGACTCCCCACTGAGCTCGGAGCCCAACTTGCTCACAGTGGGTAGATCCCAGGATCCTGAGATCATGACCTGAGCCGAAGTCAGACACTTAACAAACCGTGCCACCCAGGCGCCCCCCCCCCCATTATGTTATTAATAAGGCGTTCTAGAAGTACTAGTTCTCAGGGAGCTAAATTCTCTGTAGCTTGACCTGTGTCTCCCGAATTTAAGCATCTGCAGATTGAAACAGAATCAGATGAACAAGAGAAGAATTAGCTCTGTATGAGCTTGATGAGTGCTATAAAACTGTTGCTCAATTTAATACAATTGCATGACGGGATGATAACATATTTCCAAATCACACACTAAGAAAGCTGGGATCAAACTAAAGTCCTTTCTACACAGGCAGCCCTGCATCCGCGCTTTCTGCTTCCCCAGTTTAGTCCTCCAGAGAGTCCACTTCCAGTAGCTGGGGGAGGTTGCCATCTAGTGGCAGGACAGGCAGTCATAGGGCCAAAAGCAGCGTGGGGGGAGTGAGCTTATCTTCGCCTTTTTACAGAACTCTGAAGGTCTCCTGGCTGAAGAGAATCAAATAGGTAAAATCTTTTAAAAATAAAAAAAAGATTAAAAAAATAAAAAGATACTTGGGACCTGAATTTCAGTTTTCTTTTCAACAGTCACTGTCAATTTTAGCTTTCTTTTTTTTTTTTTTTTAAGATTTTATTTATTTATTTGACAGAGAGAGACAGCGAGAGAGGGAACACAAGCAGGGGGAGTGGGAGAGGGAGAAGCAGGCTTCCTGCCGAGCAGGGGGCCCGATGCGGGGCTCGATCCCAGGACCCTGGGACCATGACCCGAGCCGAAGGCAGCTGCCCAACCGACTGAGCCACCCAGGTGTCCCCAAAAACAAAATCCTTAACAAGTTCACCCACCCTGTAGAGTCTGGCTCTTACATTCTCAACTCCCATCCTGATAGGCACTAGGCAGTTAAATGGGTGAGCTGGTGGGGAGTGAGATGAAATAGCACTGACGCTGAGCTGCATTGGTGGGCACTGTGGGGCGTGGGGCACGCGTGCCACTTCTAAAGTGGGCAGCCAGTCCTTGGTTTGTTGTCCTGGGGGCATGCAGACCCAGTGTGGCCGGAGCTTCCAACTTCCTGGAGAAGCAGAAATTTGGATATTTTGTGTGAATTTTACATATTTTTAATAGACTTTGCTTTCTTAAAAGACTGATTTATCTACTTTAGAGAGAGCGAGAGAGAGCACGGGTGAGGGGGGAGGGGCAGAGGGAGAGACAGAATCCTCAAGGTGACTCCCTGCTGGGTGTGGAGCCTGGCGTAGGGCTCCATTTCACCAACCTGAGATCAGGATCTGAGCCAAGACTGAGTTTGACACTTAACCTACGGAGCCCCCCAGGCGCCCCAATAGACTACTTTTTAGAGCAGTTTTAGGCTCAGAGCAAAATTGAGAGGAAGGTATAGAGATTTCTCATTTACTTCCTGTCCTCACTCATGCACAGCTTCCCCTACCATCACCATCCCCTACTAGAGTGGTGTACTTGTTACAGTTGATAAGCCTACATGCACATAGCAATATCACCCAGAGTCCATAGTTTACATGCGGGTTCCCTCTGGGTGTTGTATGTTAGAAGGGTTTGGACAAATGGGTAATGACATGTATCCACTATTGTTGTATCATACAGAATAGGTTCACTGCCCTAAAATCCTCTGCGCAACTGATTTAAACTTAAAAACCAGTTGGGCCAAAATGAGTGCGAATCTGAGAAAACGGAACAGGACGGACACAACCCGCAGGCACAGGGCCCTCAGCTCTCTCCCTGCATGCTTCTCCTGCCTTGGTCCATGGCCCTCTGTTCTCCAGCCCTGCTGGACTTCTGGTACGTCTACTGCAGTGGTTCTCGACACTGGCTGCATCTGAGAATGACCGGGGAGCTGGAAGGAAAAAAAGTGATATTTGGGTCCCACCTCTTGATATTTATCTTTAAGGCTCCCCAGGCGATTCTCATGTACGGCAGGATTGACAACATGTAATTGCCAAGCAGACTTCCTGCCTCCAGCTTTGCTGTACTCTGCTTAATTTTTCACACTGCAGCAAGAAGAATCTTTTTCAAACGTAAATCTGATCAAGTCACTTCTCTGCTCAAAACCCTCCCAGGGCTGCTCCTTGACATCAGGATAAATTACTTTGCATGATCGGGAGGTCCTTTAGGATCTGACCGCTGCTGAGCCTTCCAGCCTCGTCTCCTCCCATCACCTGTGCTCCTCCCCGCTATGAATGCACTTTATTTCAGTTATGTTAAACCTCTGAAGTTCCATGATGTACACTTTCACCCATGAGCCTTTGAACATGTGCAAATGGAGGAGCCTGTATGAGGGTGGTTACCCAGGCACTGCTGGAGTGAGGGAGGGTGAGAGGATCTGACGTGGTGTAGGGAGGAGGCCAACACTAGTGCCATCCTCAAAAAGATGGAAAGCTTCTTGAAGGCAGAGATTACAATTAGTACTGCTATTTTCCCTCTCTCCAATCCTCTAGGGCCAAGCCTTGAGTATATGAAGCAAATTCTGAATTGAAGTGAGTATAATTGCATTACATTTTCAGAAAGTATTCTCCAAGCTGGTTGGTTATTTGGGGAGGAGGCTCATTCTTTTTTTTTTTTTTTTTTTTTAGTGTTCCATGATTCATTGTTTGTGCATAACACCCAGTGCTCCATGCAGAACGTGCCCTCTTTAATACCCATCACCAGGCTAACCCATCCCCCCACCCTCCTCCCCTCTAGAACCCTCAGTTTGTTTTTCAGAGTCCATCGTCTCTCATGGTTAGTCTCCCCCTCCAATCTCCCCCCTTCATTCTTCCCCTCCTCCTGTCTTCTTCTTTTTTTTTTTTCTTAACATATATTGCAGTATTTGTTTCAGAGGTACAGATCTGTGATTCAACAGTCTTGCACAATTCACAGCGCTCACCATAGCACATACCCTCCCCAGTGTCTATCACCCAGCCACCCCATCCCTCCCACCCCACCCCCCACTCCAGCAACCCTCAGTTTGTTTCCTGACATTAAGAATTCCCCATATCAGTGAGGTCATATGATACATGTCTTTCTCTGATTGACATATTTCGCTCAGCATAACACCCTCCAGTTCCATCCACGTCGTTGCAAATGGCAAGATCTCATTCCTTTTGATGGGTGCATAATGTTCCATTGTATATATATACCACATCTTCTTTATCCATTCATCTGTTGATGGACATCTTGGCTCTTTCCACAGTTTGGCTATTGTGGACATTGCTGCTATAAACATCGGGGTGCACGTACCCCTTCGGATCCCTACATTTGTATCTTTGGGGTAAATACCCAGTAGTGAGGAGGCTCATTCTCAACCAGAATGAGAGTCCGAGTACAACACTAGCCATAACAATCCATTTATTCATTCAATGACACTAATATTTATTGGTCATTTATTGCCAATTGGTTAAGACTGGAAAATCCATCAGTGATTGAAAACTGTGTACAGGGGTGGGATATCAGAAAACTTTCCTAAAGAGATAATGCCTGATTTGAGTCCTGAGGGACAAGCAGAAGCCACTCAATGCTCTTGCTCTCTTGCTCTCTTTCTCTGTGTGTGTGTGTGTTGGATAGGCCTGGCGAAAAAGAGGGAATTTCAGGCAAAGAGGGTAGCAGATCTAAAGCTTTATAGTTAAAAGAAGGTGTAGCGGGTTCTAGAAAGTGAAAGTAATAATTCTACAAGTCTGAACCTGAATGATTCCAGGACCCCTTTCCAGGGCTCTCATGTTCTGGCTTAGCATCTCAAGTATGGGTTTAACATAGCTGAAATAGCATCTAATTGAGAAAGTTAAATATAATTTAGTTTCTGGTTGGTGAATTACATCCCCCAAGAGTCTCTTAAGAGACTGTAGGAAAGAGAAGAAGGAAGGGTGAAATGGTAACAGTCAGAGGATTGGGGTGACATTTATATTCCGATTTATGTCCCAACAGTCACGTCTCTTGGGAACTCTTAACCATCAGGGAGGACCTTTGCCCCACAGTTCACACTTGATTCCAGCAAATGTAGAGTCCTTGCTTCTGTTACGTAGATGGGAAGCAAGTTCTTCTGGGGTCACACAGCAGAAGCCTGACATTTGGAGAATGTGATTGATGAGCTCTGTCCTCCCACAGAGGAGCCCCATGGTGAGAAAGGACTTCAGAAGCCAAATAACCAAGGGACTTTCCAAACCAAACATCTGCAGTGAAATGCAGAACCTGCTGAGCTATGACTGACGTAGCCAGCTAGAGACACAGCCCTGTGGTTCCCATGAGAGCTTACCCCCAGCCAGATTTTCCACCATTAAAACAGCTCCTTTTAATTCCAGCTTTCTTCCTAGATGAGTCTACTAAAACATCCTAGAGGGAAGGGATAGATGGTGTAAGTTTCCTGATTGCCTGTCACCTGGTAGAAAGCCAAGCCCCAGGGGCATCTGCTGTAGAGTTGTAGGCAGATTCAGAGTTTACACATCACCTAAAATGAGTAGGTTGAATGAGGTACCAAGTCCAGGGCATTATGAGGACAGGGGCTTTGGAAGGAGGGCCTCACAGGGAAGAAGATATTCCAAAGAAGAGAAAAGCATGGGTGGAGGAGGTCCTTAAAGGCATCTAACCTACTTTACAATTTTCTCTAGGACTGACCAATACCTCAGAGTCATAATTAAATCAATTGTCTTTGTCCCTTCTCTTTTCTCCTCTTATCACTCTCTGGAAAAACAACAAAAACAACAACAACATTAATTGCAATTAGATCCTTTATATAATCAATGAATAGTTTATAGTTCTTTGAGAATGCCTCAATTCTCTAAAACCATTAGTAATTACGAAGGTTGAGCAGAAGGCTGGGCTCACTCACTAGTAAAGCAATAAGTCTTGGATACTAGCTGAGAAAAGACATGACCGATTTCAATTTCTGCTGGGGTCTTCACAGGTCCCTTCTTATTTAGATCTCCTATAGGCATGAAATGGATATTATTTTCTGTTTTCAAAATTACCAGCATTCATAGCCTTTTGATGTTACCTTTGCATGGTAGAGATCAGGGATTGTAAGTCCAAATGCTTGGACCTACTCTGATCTGGATGTTGCACCTTACTTTATTAAAACTTAGTAAATAAAATAAATAAAACAGTGTAAAATATCATTAGGTGAAAACAGAAGTGAGTGCTGCCATCCACCAAAAGATATGTACACTTTCATTTGCGAAGCCCAAAACTAGAAAAATGTAATGTCCATCAAAAGTAAATTGTGGGGTACCTAGGTGGCTCAGTCGGTTAAGCGTCTGACTCTTGATTTAGGCTCAGGTCATGATTTCAGGGTCGTGGGATCGAGCCCCGCATGGGGCTCTGTGCTCAGTGTGGAGTCTGCTTGTCCCTCTCCCTCTGCACCTCCCCCTGCTCACTCTCTCTCTCTCTCAAATGAATAATTAAATAAAACATTTTTTAAAGTAAATTGTGAGAGTCCCACAATAAGAAAGAAGAGGGGAAAGAGATAAGAAAAAAAAAAAAAAAAAAAAAAGGAAAAAGAAAAAAAAAAAAAAAGAAAGAAGAGGGAACGACTGTACAGTCCAGCAGCATGGATGAATCTCACAGACAGTGTTGAATGAAAGACGTCAGACACAAACGTGTCTAGACCCATATATGAAGTTCAAAATCAGGCAAAAGTAATCTATGATGATACAAGTCAGGATGTTATACTTGGTGGATCTGGGTATTCAGTGCTTATACTTGGTGGGATCTGCTGAGGGGCACAAAGGAGCTTCTGGAGTGTTGGAAATATTCTCTATCAAGGTAATGGTTACCCAGGTGTATACATGTGTAAAAATTCACCTTGCTGTGCACCTAAGATGTGCTCACTCTACTGTCTACAAGTTATATCTAAAAAACAAAAACAAAAAAATCTGTGTAAGAAGCATCTGCCTCTCCTCCGATCTTATAGGATTCAGAACAGGTATGGAAATAAACCAAAAAATGTAGTGAGATGATCCCTGAGAGAAGGGTAAATAGACACCATGGGTGGAAGATATGTTGATGTTAATTTATGGGTAGAATGGGTAGTCTTGGCGGTTTATGGGAGCACAAATCAGGCCCACCAGCCATTGGCAGTACACTGAAATTCACCCTGATTTTTCTTTCATCAATAAATTGCTTAGACCGTCTGCACTGTTATTTTTTTTATTTTAAAGTTTCTTAAATTAAAGAATGACATGTGTACAGTAAAAGGAATAAATTATACATTTGATAAATATATATATAAGGTCATGGATTATCATCAAGTGAATATATCCAAATAACCATCTACCATCCAAGCCAAGAAAAAGAATATTACCTTTATCCCAAAGATTTCCTGTGTCCATTTCTTTGTTTTTGCTGTGGTGGTGGTGGTGATGGGGGTGGTTCTTTTCTGCTAACAGTTCATTGATTTTTAAGTAAATTTATACTGTTGTGTAGCCATCACCATAATCCACTTTTAGAACACTTCTAGCATCCCCAAAAGTTCCCTCTTGTCCATATGGTCGGTTCCTACTCTTGCCATCAGCCTCAGGCAACCACTGATATGCTTTCTGTCTCTGGTTCTGCCTTTTCTAGAAATTTCATATAAACGGAATCATGCAATACGTTGTCTTCTTTCCTTAGCATGATATTTTTGAAGTTCATGCATTTGTTGCATGCATCAGTAATTTCTTCTTTTTATTGCTAAGATATATATTATTGTATAGATAAACCACACTGTTTATTCATCAGTTGATGGACATTTGGGTTGTTTCCAATTTGAGGCTATTATGAATAATGCTGCTGTGAATATTTGTGAGGCAGTGTTTCTTTGGGAATGTATTTTCATTTCTCTTGGATACATACATAGAAATGGAATTGTTAGGTTATATTTATATTTAACTTAAGAAACCGCCAAACTTTTCCCAAGTAACTTTAATTTTACAATCTCCAGGAATGTCTGAGAGTTCCAATTGCTGTATAATCTCACCAATGCTTATTTTCAGTCTTTTTGCTTATAGGCATCCTAGTGAGTCTGTAGATCTCTGTCTTATTAACTTTCATTTCCCTAGTGATTAATGATGTGAAGATTTCTGCATATGCTTATTAGCCATTTGAATATCTTCTCTGATGAAATGTCTACTCAAGTCTTTGCCTATTTTTTTTCCCCTGGGATTTACAGTTTATTAGAAAATGCAAATATCAGTCAAATAATCCCCAATAGACATACCTTAAAAACAGTTTTCTGAAGTAAAGAACAGTTCTGTAAGCATGTATATACCACAGGAAATGTGATCAGTATTGGGGGTCAGAAACTGAAGTCTGGGGCATATAACTAGTTTACTCCCAGGGGTCTTTTGCCTATTTTTTTTACTAGATTGTTTGTTTTACTGTCATTATGTTGTAGGAATTCTTTGTGTGTTCTGGGTATTAGTCCTTTATCAGATATGTGATTTGCAAATATTTTATCCCAATCTACCTTGTATTTGCATTTTCTTAGTGATGTCTTTTGAAGTGCAAAAATCTTAATGTTTTATTTATTTATTTTTAAAGATTTTATTTATTTAGAGAGACAGAGAAAGAAAGCAGGAGTGGGGAGAGGTACAGAGGGAGAAAGAGAGAATCTCAAGCAGACTCTGTGCTGAGTGTGGAGCCCGACTCAGGGCTTGATTCCACAACCCTGGGATCATGACCTCAGCCAAAATCAAGAGTCGGACACTCAACCAACTGAGCCACCCAGACGCCCTCCAGATTTAAACTTTTTAAACTGATAAGTAATTCACATGCCATAAAATTCACCTTTTTAAAGTGTACAATTAAATGGAGTTTTGGGGGTTGTTTTTTAGAGAGGCAGGAGGGGGGGAGGGGCAGAGGGAGAGGGAGAGAAAGAATTTTAGTCAGGCTCCACGCGGGGCTTGATCTCACAACCTTGAGATCATGACCTGAGCCAAAATCAAGAGTCAGACTCTTAACCGACTGAGCCACCCAGATGCCCCTAAATGGCTTTTAGTATAGCCACAAGGTCATGTAACCACTGCCACTATCTAATTCCAGAACATTTTCATCATCCCAAAAGAAAACCCCTTACCCATTAGCACTCACCCCCCATTCCTTCTTTTTCCCACCCCTTGAACCACTAATTTATATTCTGTCTCCATGGATTTGCTTATTCTAGACATTTCATATAAATGAAGTATTATAATATGTGGCCTTCTGTTTCTGCCTTCTTTTGTTTAGCATATTGTTTTCAAGGGTCACCCATTTTGTAGTATATATCAATACTTCATTCCTTTTTATGGCTGAATAATACTCCATTATATGGATATGTCACATTTTATTTATCCATTCCTCAGATAATTGACATTGGGGTTGTTTCCACTTTTTGGCTAATGTGAATGCTGCTGTGAACATTTATGTGCAAGTTTTTGTATGGATAGATGTTTTCAATTCTCTTGGGTATATATATACCTAGGAGTGGAATGCTAGGTCATGTTTTAACTCTCTGTTTAACTTTTTGAGGAACTGCCAAATTGTTTTCCACAGCAGCTGCAACATTTTATAGTCCTAACAGCAAGGTGCAAAGCTTCCAATTTCTCCACATCTAAGCCAACATTTGTTATTTTCCACTTTTTTTATTCTAGCCATGTGTGTGTGGGGGGAGTATCTTAAGTGATTTTGATTTGCATTTTCTTAAAAAGTAATGATGTTGAGTTCACCAGCCATTTGTCTAATCTCCTCTGGAGAAATATCTATTCAAGTCCTTTTCCCGTTTAAAAATTAGGTTGTCTTTTTACTAGGATTGCAAATATCTTCTATGTTCTAAATGAGCTAGTAACACACTGGTATATGCAGTTATTAAAACTCACTGAACTGTACATTTAAAACTTGTGTCTTTTAAGTGTAATGTAAATTATGCCATCATACCAAGGGCCCTACAAAAGGAAATAAGTTATACTGCATAGTTAGAATTTTATGTACCACTTCAACTTAAAGAGTGTTCTGGGGAGAAAAGCCGATTAGCTTGGGTAACAGGCCTGGCGTCAGTGGAATAAAGCAATGTGGCTTCAGGGGCCTTGAAGAAAAACTAAGTTTTGAGTCAGATGCGTGGAATAAAAGAGAAAACAGCTGTAAGAGGAAAGATGCAGCACCTGGCGATTCCAGGAAAATAGAAGAAGCAGGCATCAGGTATTTTTTGGTTCAACTCAGAAGCAAGGTCCCCTGACTCAGAAAATAATTTTGGCTGATGCTCTGTACACTGAGGCCTCTGTTGCCCGTTTTATGATGCAGGGATAAAGATCAAAAGCCTCTGCCTGTGTCGGTGAACCGGGCCTGCCAGAGCGGACGGCACGATGGGCTTCGTGAACGTGGGATGAAAGGCGCTGTGGAAGCACAAAGGCGCGCTGATGGGCGTCTCCCAAGCGCGAGCCTCGAGGGCGTGGCCCGGCAGAGAAGGCAACTTCACCAAACGGATGGAAGTGTTTCTTGTTTGTTTTTACGATTTTAGTTATTTATTTATTTGAGAGAGAGAGAGAGAAAGAGAGAGCACGAGCTGGGGAGGGGCATAGGGAGAAGCAGCCTCCCCGCTGAGCAGGGAGCCCCATGCGGGGCTCCATCCCAGGACCTCAGGACCATGACCTGAGCTGATGACAGATGCTTAACCGACTGAGCCACCCAGGCGCCCCATGGATGGAACTTTTTAATGGGCATGTTCATATTCACATGAATGTGGGAATACTCATTTTGTGGCTGCCTCTATGCCCTCAGGGCTTCCGCACCTGCTACCAGCCGGCCTCCCAAACTAATAGAGGCCCCTACTCCGTGGCCTCTACCACATGACACTGCTTTATCGCCTAGGAAGCACGTACCTGGTTTCTTTATTTGTTTATTATCTGTTTTGTCTTTGCCAGAGTGTAATCCTGGGGGAGCAGAGATTTGACCGTATTATTCTTGGTACACTGCCTGGCCAGTAGTAGGTATGCAGTAAATGGTTGAATTAATGATTCAAAAAATGTTTCTTTAAATCTCCACTCAGGGGGCGCCTGGGTGGCTCAGTCGGTTAAGCTTCTGCCTTTGGCTCAGGTCATGATCTCGGGCTCCTGGGAGCAGCTCCCTGCTCAGTGGGGAGTCTGCTTCTCCCTCTCCCTCCTCCCCTGCTGGTGTTCTCTCTCTCTCTCTCAAATAAATAAATAAAATCTTTTTTTTTTTTTAAGATTTTATTTATTTGACAGAGAGAGACACAGCGAGAGAGGGAACACAAGCAGGGGGAATGGGAGAAGGAGAAGCAGACTCCCCGCCGAGCAGGGAGCCCGATGCGGGGGCTCGATCCCAGGACCCCGAGTTCATGACCTGAGCTGAAGGCAGACGCTTAACGACTGAGCCACCCAGGCACCCCAATAAATAAAATCTTAAAAAAAAAAATCTCCACCCAGGCACCTCTTTTAATATATCAACTGGAGAATTTCACTTAAATGTCTCGGACACTTCAACCTTGAAATGACCAAAATGCAATTATTTTTGTCCCTGTTCTCCCCTCCAGCCAATGGCTAAGCCAAGAACTTGGGAGCCATTTTCCACCTGGATCTCTCACCTGGATTCCTGCAGCAGCATCCTGTTGAAACTGCCTCCTGTTGTGTTCTCTCAGATTCATCTCCTGAGTGACCTGCTGAAACCCAAGTTTGATCATGTCACACCACTGCTTCCAACTCTTGGGCAGCTCCTCACTGACCTCATATAAAGGCCAAATTATCTTAGTAGGGCACTCAGGCCTTTGCTGATGTGGCTCTTGCCCACCTCTCTAGCCATCCCACATGTCTCAGCTCTAGCTACACTGAGCTGCTTGCAGTTCCGAGTGTAGCTGCTATTACACTCCTCAACCTCTGCAGCTCTTCTACTCCTGTCTTCCTGGTGAATCCCCTTCTTTCCTGTGTCACTTCATCTATGAAATTTTTTTTGACCAGTATTATATTTCTCAGGACTCTTGATTTTGAGGAACAGAAACCCAACACAAACTAGCTTCTGTTAAAAGGGGCTGTATTAACTCATATAAGGAAGGACTGGATGCAGGCAGCCTCAGGAATGGCTGGATCCAGACACTCAAATGATACTGTTATCGCTCTCTCTGTCTCTGTCTACACACACACAGAGACACACACAGGCGCGCAAACACACACACACAGGGATTTTGGCTTCTTCTTATGAGTTGATTTCATTCTCTCTTGTTAAGGGAAAATGTGGTCAAGGGAGTTCCAGGCTTACATACACTTTGGTCACCCCAGGGGAGAATGAGGTCTTCTTTCCCCTGGTTTCAGCTTATAACAATTATAGGAGAATCTAAGATTAGCTTGGCTGTAAACATGTACCCAGCCATTGACCCATGGCTGGAGGGAAAAAGTTATGATTGGCCAGGCCTTGGACTGTTCCTCTTAACCTGGGGAGGAAGAATGTGTACTCCTTTTGTTGGGGAACCCTTCTCCAATAAAAGAGAGTACTGTTATCAGGAAAAGAGAGTAGACCACTGATGTCTACTACAACCACCATCTCATCCCTCCCTCCCACTCCTTTTGTGTTCCCATTGCCCTCTGCGCAGAGGCAGAGGGACCAGTGGGGGACAAAACAAGTTTTTGAGTCAGACATAGATTCAATTTTTGGCTTTATGATGACTATGTGACCTTGAGAAAGTTTTAAGCCTCGTTGTGCCTTTATTTTCTCATCTATACAATATTTTAGGATAGCTGTGGGGATTAAAGACAACATAGGTAAAGTATCTGGTACAAGATGGTACCAATATTAATAATACTCATAACAGTCAATTATCTGATCTGCCTATTTCTTCCTTCTAGACCATGAATTACTTTAGGCAGGGCCTTATTTTAGGTACAGTAAAACTCAGTTACAATAGCAGAGCTCAGAGACTGGTGTATCCGTTTGCTAGGGCTGTTATAACCAGTACCACAGACTATGTGGCTTGAACAACAGAAATTTATTTTTTACAGTTCTGAAGGCTAAAAGTCTGAGATCAAGACGTCAACAGGGTGGGTTTCATCTGAAGACTTTCTCCTTGGCTTGTAGACGGCTGCCTCCTCTCTGTCTTCACATGGTCTTCCCTCTGTGTGTCTCTGTGTCCTAACTACCTTGTCTTGTAAGGACACCTGTCATAGTGAATTAGAGCCCACCCTAATGACCTCATTTTAACTTAGTCACCCCTTTAAAGACCCTATCTCCAAATACAGTCACTTTCTGAGGTACTGGAGGTCAGGACTTAAACATGTGAATTATGGGGGGGACACAATTCAGCCCATTACAATTCATTTCTGTCCAAAACTTTAGTGAAAAGTCATGCAGGATAAGGCAAATTTTGAGGATAAGGGAGTCATTTAGTGCTGTCTTTCTCAATATTGGCTTTATAATAATGGTTAATTGCATTTATATAGTCTTTTTTTTTTTTTGACTCTCCAAAGCACCTTCATGTCTCTTAACTTAATTCTTAATTTTACTGTGTTATCCCAGAGGGCCCTGAATTAGATTTCAGGAACAGAATTAGGAAGGATCCAAAGACACAGGGTTAATAAAAAATGGTCAGCAGGGGGCGCTGCGAACAAGCCCAGGGAAATCCAAGGGCTATAGTTCTGAACCTAGACCTGGAGCAGGCACAGCATCCTACCAACTGACTCAGGCCCCTCTGCACATGAGTGCCTGGCTATTGGTTGGGCCCAGGCTGAACCATGGTTGCCCTCCCAGGGCATCTCATCACAAATTATGTCCCAGTTCTGGGATCTGGCCCAGTGTAAACACTCTCCCATGCATATGAGCTAAGTGGACAACACAGGAAGTTCAGTGGGAGCCCAGCCAGCCTTTCAACCCTGCCTGAGTCCCAGGAGATAAACTACTAATATTCGATAAGGCCTGTGCCCACAGGGGTGGCAGTGGGCCCAGCAGTGGACACACTATGGACAGCAGGCTGGCTCTGGAGAAGGCTCGAGTGTTGTGAGAGGTCTCCGCCACATGCCCCTACTTTAGCCCCAGGGTCCGGTCTTCTTATGCTTCCTCCTGCTTTGATGGTCAAGAGTAGGGGCTTATATTCTACAGACTTGTTTATATCTGAAGTCCTGTGGTGGGTGCCTTAGGTTCTCACAGCATCCTCCCTTCCCCCTGGAAACAGAATACTCCCCTCCTTTAGAGAAAGTCAATTCCCCAGTCTATGGGATTTGAGGGGGGCTGCCAATCACAACGTTCTCACATATCCAGCCTGACCTCAGCCCAGGTCAGAAACATGCTCAGAATCTAGGCCCAGATGTCACCCACCAGGCACTGCTTTCACTGGGACCTATTTGGGACAAAGATGAGGACTGAAGACTGCCTATACCCCATTCTGTAGTGGAAGACAGAGCAGTGGAAAGTAAAAGTTCTCTGAAGTGTGATCCTGTTCACTCTATATTAAAATTTCCCTTTCTCTTATTCAAGGCAAGCAGCCAGGCCTTTGTGTTCCTTCATCAGGTGAAGTCTGTGCTGTAGGGTAGAAAGCAAAAGCTGCTGAAACTCTTTTAATTTGTTTTGGAGGGGGAGGGGTTGTGTGTGTGTGTGTGTGAGAGAGAGAGAGAGAGAGAGAGAGAGAAAGGCTGAACTCCTCAAAGTCCTAAACCCCTTAAAGAGTTAGTTGCTTCAGGAGGCGAGGGGACACACGTGATGCCTTCAGGGAAGGAGTGGAAACAATGGAAGGTTAGATACCAGGGCTCCACCCTTGTCCCAAAGCTGGTTGCTAAACATTTACCCGCAAACCACCGCAAGTAAGAGTGACCTTTTCCCAATCTCCTTCAGGTAAATGGCTCCTATCTTGGGGAGAATGAAAGAAGGGGCAGGAGAGAGCACAAGCAGTGCTTCCCTCCTAAAAAGCAGACTGGAAAGTTCTTCATGGAAACAAATGAAATGGAAATAGGGGGTGTCCTCCTACTGTCCTTCCTTCCTCTTTTTTTTTCTTTTTACCTCATATATACTGGAAATGTCAGAAAAGAATAGGAGGCCACATAGTATGGCAGTTGAGAGCACAGAATTTGGGTTCATAACCCAGCTTGCACACTCTCTAACTGTGTGGTATTGTGTAAAGTGGAGTAAAGTTGTAATGAGAAGTATCACGATAAGTTTTTGGAGCAGAAGCCAGGCCGCTCTCCTCTTCACTTCTCTCAAGAGAATCTTGAAGGGCCCCAAAGAGTCCTGCCCTCACTTTCTCTGAGCTACTGTATTGAATGGTGGTAGTGGTCTATAGAAATATAGATAGATCTAGGTGATATCCTGATAAGGTGCAGAACTCAGGCCTCAACAGCCTAAGAAGCTCTCTTGTCCACCTCGTCCAGGCACATCTAAAAACAAAATGCCTGGGGTGCCTGTATAGTTCAGTCAGTTAAGCATCTGACTTTTGATTTCAACTCAGGTCACGATCTCAGGGTCATGAGATTGAGCTCAGCTCTGCGTCATGCTCCTTGCTGGGCGTGGAGCCTGCTTAAGATTCTCTCTCTCCACTCCCTCTGCCCCTCCCCTTCCCCCTCAAAAAAAAAAAAAAAAAAAGGACCTTTACAAAATGCCAAACTGGAGATCTGCTGCTAACATCTGTCTTTTGGTTCTTCTTTATGAGGGAGTCAGTAGATCCCATGGCTTTTCTGAATTTCAACTTCCTCATTCATAGGATGGAAATAAAAATACAGCTTCATTGCCTTTTATGGATACAGATTAAAAGGCACAGAACGTTTTAACCATTGCAAATTTGTTAACATTTTTCTAGAGTTTCCCAGATGGATTCAATTAGGATCATGATGGTATGGTTGCCTCCCCTAGTCTGAAAGAGAAATGCCACCATTAACTTTTAATTATTCACAAATACAAAGGAAAAGTCCTTGGCCCAGGCCCTAATGGGACTATTAAAGCTATTTTCCTACTCAGAGTTTTAAAAGCTGGGAAGTTGGTTTACATAACCTGGTACTTTTTTTCTATTGCTCTTCTCCATAGAATGTGAAGGACCAAGAGTGAACCCTCCCTACTAATGCATGTTAGGCAGGTGCCAAACTTCTTTACCTTCTTGTTTTCTTGGTTTACTTTTTCCTCCTACTGTTCTCATCTGGTTGTACTGTTGGGGTGTGTGTGCATATGTACACACACATGTATGTGTGTATAGGAATGCATGTGTATGGTCTGGAGGGAGATAGACTTTGGAAGCACAGAATGGTAACACACGGTGTGTAACACCCCCCCACCAACACACACACCTGACACACACACTCCAGAAAAAGGAAAGACCCAATAGAATAAAGAATAAAGAAATGAAAATAAATTGAGACAAAAATAGCAACACAAAAAAGCCCACGTACAAGAACCAAGTCTTTCCTTTTCTCAATTTCATGCTCTCTTTTTTCCTTTTTTACTGAATTCAGATTTTTTTTCCATTCTCATTTCTATAGGTTTCTTTTCTCTCTCTGTGCCCTTATTAACTCAACCTCATTAACACTTCCAAAATCAGAAGTCATTATCCTGACACCACCCACTGCACTCAAGTTCTACTTCTCTCTCTGAATTCCTCCAACTGTTCTCAGGTTCCACTTCAGGTCAGCTGCCTAAAAAAAAGCCACTCAGACTCATTCCTTATTTTTAAAATCTGCTTTATCAAGATATAATTTA